GTTAAATGTTGTTAAATAAAATGTTGCTGAATTATGAAAATACATGGATTTACTGCATGTAATATAATAAGACTGTAACATAAGTTATTTTATCTTTTTAGAGATGAAATATTACTCCAATCTCTCTACTCCAATAGTAAAGTCCAATATCAATAAAAATAGATTAAGTAAACAGAATGGCTTCCATGATAAATTACACTGTAAAGCTACTGTAAATGATTATATACAGTATAATATCTAAAACTTTCAAAAAATCTGTTACTTAGTTACACAGTTCTTTGAAAATAGTAATGTGAATTATTGAAAAAATTTTTTTAAAAAATAATACTTGTTGTGTATCAATTTGATGATAATATCAAGCTCTAAATCATTGAGTATTATGTAAAAAAATTATTTAAAATTTTTTTAAGCTTGAATATCTAAATTTTTTCAAAATGTTTAGGAAAAATTTTTAATGTTTGAATATTCTACAACATTTAATTATATAAAAATTAAAAAAAAAAAAAGACGGTAGAAGTATTCCCAATGTATCTAAAGTAATGCAGATTTCAGGGTACCTTGGATAATCATAACTTGAATAGGAATGTTTAATTATTAAATGAACTGAATTGGGATGCATTAATATTTAGTTACACTTTATTTTTAGGTTAAACTTATTGAGCATAGACTTTTAATATTATTTACAACTGTATTTATTAAGACATATGTGAACCTATGATTACATGTTCACATATGTCTGAACAAATGAGATGAACACTTATCAACTGAATAAAATTCAATGATGAGATTTGCCAAGAGTCTGAATAAATATTGGGTTGTTCGGAAAGTAAGTTTGTTTTTTTTACTACTAGACGGATTAGTTGTATTTTTCCCGCCATTTTCATTCTAAACTGTATTATCATTATATATTTTGACAGTTAGCATTTTAAGGCTTATTTGTAAAAAATTTTGTTTGATTTTGTGCCATTGTTTATTTTTTGTGTCCCATCAAATATGGAAGATCGAAAGCAGCATTTTCGGCATATTTTGCTCTTTTATTACCGAAAAGGTAAGAATGCTGTTCAAGCAAGAAAAAAATTGTGTGACATGTATGGGGAAGATATATTGACAGAACAACAGTGCCAAAATTGGTTTACAAAATTTTGTTCTGGCAATTTCAATATTGAAGATGCACCATGTTCTGGATGGCCAGTTGAAGCCAATGAAAACAAAATAAAGGTACTGATTGAAGCAAACTGCCGAATAACAACACATGAAATCACTAAGAGATTAAATTTATAAATTGAACTGTTTATGATTACTTGAAACAAATTGGTTTTGTTTTAAAGTTCGATATATGGGTTTTTTTTCCATGGAAAAAAATGAACTTACTTTCCGAACAACCCAATACAATAAATAATTTGTGTTTGAATTACCTATGATTACAATTAAAATTTCATTAGTTATTTTTTAAATTCTTAGTGTTGTTATAAGTTACAGTAGCAAATTTTTTTAAACTTCTCTATCCTGTTCATAGCCCAGCATATCATTGGGCCAAGATTTGCAAAACAAACAGTACTATATTTGTGAATAAAGTACATCATATTCTTTTATCTTTTGTCATTAGAAGTATTCTTCTACTATTCACCTCAGATAATGTGAAATCTTGGTTAAATGGTCTCAGTTAATCAAGACACTATTGTATAAAAAAATATTGTTTGCTTTTTAAAATTTATTTCAATTCAAGACATTCAAAATTTGTAGAAATAATTGTTACATAAAATACCTTATATGTCTTCAGCATAAATGATAAAATAAGAGTTGACTTGGTTGGCTTCATTTAATTATAGCAAATTTGTTTTAATCTGTCAGTTTTGAATTTTTTTTTTGTAGTATCACTAGCCAGAATCCATTAAATATTTGACTTGATTAGAATACAATTTGCCAATTAATTCATTATCATGATGATTACTATTTTGAATTGCATTCATACTGAATAAAATATCTAAATATTTTTATAAATGCTTTTCATCTCTTCTTTCTTAACTTTACAAAAATCATTTATGAAAGGAATAAAGATTTATGAAATTATTTTTTCAAAATTGAGAAATAAAATTTATTTAAAATTCAGACTTTTTAAATTTTAAATCAGTTTATAATTTTTACATATTACTTTTTTGAATATCTCACTAAATACAATATTCTTAATAGAGAACTTATTCCATTCATTTCTGTAAATATTCTAATATTTTTAAAAGATTTCACTCTGGACAGAACTACCCATGAAGTATGTTCATATATTATTGTACTGTGCATGTGCAATGATAGCCTGTTTGATTCATTCCTTTCTCTTATATAAGTGTGATTATTTGTTTATTTTTTTAGTTGGTCTTTGAGTCTTTGAAACACTTTTTTAGGATTTTTAAAGTAATGACTCTTCTTAATTTTTGATTAATTTAACATGATATAGAAGAAAGAAAAACTTAATATTTCTAATAATTTTAAAGTTTTTCATTTTTAAATTAAAGAAATAAATTTACATTTACATAATATAATAGATGATGATAAACAGTTCTTTGCATAAAACAATTTTTTCTTTCAAATAACACACAAATATGAACAGTTATTAACACACAAACATGAACAGTTATTAAATATCCCGTTGTCCTTGTAAGAGTTAACATGCAGAAAATATTAGTATATGATTTATCATAATTTCTATGTGAAATTCATATCAATATTTATTCATCATCAGAAATAAACTTTGAATATGATTTTAACATAAAATGATTTATTAATTTTCAGAATANTCTTGCCGTTTCTAGTTTCTGTAGATTTGTTGATTTTCTTTTTGAAACCGTGTCCTGTTTTATATTTGTGGCGTAGTAAACACTAGTATTGTGTTTTATTCCAAAGACACATGGCAAATTTTCCATCAAATTCCTTTATTAGTTGAGTCGATACGGTACAAAACAATGTACCGTATCAAAATCAACAAACCTACAGAAACTAGAAACGGCAAGACTCATCAAACAAAAATGCAAAGAAGCCAACACCAAGATCGCAGACAGGAAGAGAAAATACAGTTGACTGAAGAGGGGCAAAGCCCGAAACGAGTACAAAACAATGTACTGTATCGACTCAACTAATAAAGGAATTTGATGGAAAGTTTGCCATGTATCTTTGGAATAAAACACAATACTAATTTTTTACTACGTCACAAATATAAAACAGGACACGGTTTCAAAAAGAAAATCAGAAAATTTTTATAATAATAATCGTAGCTATTCTATCGTTAAAAATTATTTCTTTATTTTGTACAATCAGAATAAATATATTGAAAGATATAAAAGCAAAAAAATATACTTTATACGTTAGTCTAGTATCAAAAACGTTCGATTCAGTCCAACTGGAACGCTTTCGGTTAACCGACGTTTCCGGTTAACCGATTGATCGACATTCGGATAATCGACGCTCACTGTATATCATCGAAATGGGTTGATAATAATAATACTAATAAGCTCAGACGGTTAGGAGTTGAAGGTTGAAATTTGGTAGACAGGGTACGTCATGATAACGTACAGTACACTAAGAAGAGATTTTTCGAAATTTAAAGAAATAAAATTTAAAAAATTAAAAGAAACGAAAAAAAATACTTAATGTTTTTTAAATTTTTGTGTACCAACAACTAGAGTTGGGACAGCGAATCTGTAGTATATATGCCGAAAGTGGTATGTCAGGAGAAATTTGGTGTGCAACAGATACGATCTCTACTTGTTACTGTTAAATTGCACTTTTATAATGGTTTTATATTCAATTCCGTGTATCCTCATACTTNGAAGTTAATCTAGTATCAAAAACGTTCGATGCAGTCCAACAGGAACGCTTTCGGTTAACCGATGTTTCGGTTGATCGACATTCGGATAATCAACGCTCTACTGTATATCATCGAGATGGGTTGATAATAATAATGCTAATAAGCTCAGACGTTAGGAGTAGAAGGTTGAAATTTGGTAGACAGGGTACGTCATGATAACGTACACTACACTAAGAAGGTATTTTTCGAAATTTAAAGAAATAAAATTTACAGAATTAAAAGAAATAAAACAAAAAAATACCTAATGCTTTTTAAATTTTTGTGTACCAACAACTAGAGTTGGGACAGCGAATCTGTGGCATATATGCCGAAAGTGGTATGTCAGGAGAAATTTAGTATGCAACAGATACCATCTCTACTTCTTACTGTTAAATTGCACTACTTTTTTAATGGTTTTATATTCAATTCTATGCATCCTCATACTTTTCTCGATAAGCTTGTTTACATTTATTTAAATAAATTTTCTAGGTAAGTTGATACCAGACAGGTTCAAAAATTAGAAAATGTATAAAAATTTACCTTGTTATTCATTAATAAATAAATGTAAAATGTTTAAATCATCCTATATAATATTACAGTAATAATATATAACAAAAGCGAATAATAAATTTATTATAGCAATAATGCATAAAACAGTAACAAGCATATACATAAGGCAAGCATTATAATGCATAAAATTTAATGCATTATGATTATATAACACAAGTATTCGATATTAATGCTCTAGAGCCACATTTAAATATAATATTGTGTACTGGATATGAAGAATAAATTTCAAAAAGAAATCGCATGAACATTGTATAATTCATTATCGATTTTAACAGATGTAGATGTACTAAAAATGGCTGACGATTGCCTGTACTGTACTCTGTATCCTTCCCTATGCTTATCGTTATTATTTGGTGATTTACTTTTCGAACGTTGCGTCCACCATAAATTAAATGTCAGACAAACGAAACTTGTATCCTTTTATGCAATTTTTCTTAATTTTCTTGCTTTCGTCCACTTCTTAATCGTTTGCGTACAACCTTTTGCCACGGAAAATTACATCATCGCGTGTAGTCCCATTCTGACGTTAACTGGTAAAAATAACGTGCCTTTTTTCACAGGCGCAATCGTCTGCGTAACACTAAATAGTGTTGTAATGGTGTACAATGGCAGGAAAAACAAATTGACTTTCGATCTTGAACTATCGGCTTACGAAACAGAAAGGGAAAATTTGCGCATTTATCAGTTAATTATTCGTTTATTCATTTTGGTCAGTTATCCTTTCATGTTGATTGTAAGCTGGGCTACGATTAGTATTCTCATTTACAAAAGAATCGAGGAACGTGCTAACTATATTAGAGCAACTGTCTGTGCGATTTTCATGAATTTATGCGTTCTGTACGAAGCAACCGGATTGTTATGGATAATCTCAATAACCACGTTAATATTAACTATGATAATGAAAAGATTCCATGTCCTGTCTAATGATCTGCAGCGTGCTAAAACTACTTGTTCTTATGATGCTATTCAACAATTGATAACGAAACACAACGAATTGTGCGAATTTTTAAATCAGATTAATGATAAATGGAGCCAGAGTCTTTTCTTTCTTTACGGTTTTATTATTACTTTTGTATCGTTTCTGTTATACAACACGGTATTTCCCGGTTTCCCTGCGCATTTGTATGTTTTCGTTTGTCTGGCAACTGCAGTTTCTATCTCAGGAGCAATTACCATTTCTCTCATTGTTTCTCGTGTTTCTTCAGCTGTAAGTCACTTTCTGTTTACTTCGGTAAATCTACTTTTCCTGACACTGCTCGTTATTTTCAGGCTTACGATTCTTTTCAAGAAATTCGAAAATTAGGAGCAGGAAACTTCAGATTAGAAGAAAAACTAAAGGTTTTTTTCCAGAAATAATAGTTTGATTTTATGCCATATTAAATCAACTCTTTTACAGATGCTGGATTTCATGAAGAAATTTCGTGAAAATGAAATTGGATTCAGTTGTGGAGATTGTTTCATGTTTTCGAAAGAAACGGCAGTTGAGGTAAGACGATTGCATAAAAAACATTTCAAGTTGGAGAAATTTTGCCTTAGATCCGAATATTGCAATTTTTTTTCGGCTTTAAAACTTTTATTAACCAGAGTTAATCACTATCGAATTTAAATGCTTATATATATAAATGGCATTAACGTAATAGAAGTTTTATCATTTCAGACTGTCAAGACTTGTATGATAATATTATTTACTGTTGTAATTAGTATTTCATGCGAAACATAAAATTTACCAATTGATGGCATAGAAAACAACTCGTTTGTTTGTTTAATATCATAATAACAATGCTTACACAGCACGGAATTGACCAATCAAACTGTTCTTTTTTAAATTTCTACATATAAATTCAGTCAAATTTATATATAGTTACATAATAATAAAAGCATTAAATTTTATATAGTAACTGATTAAATATCAGTTATTAGTTAGTAATGAGATTGTTTATTTAATTAATTGTTGGTTGTTTTACAAATTTTAGGTATACAATGCATTATATACCGTATTCAACATGTTGCTACAGATTAGAGACATCTGGTTGGGAGTAGATTCGAAATGTGTTGCTTCGAAACATTCAATTTCACCTCTCAATGCTACAGAGACGGTTTCTCAGAAATGAATACTGCAACAAAATCGATTAAGAAGTTAGAGATTTAGTACAAATTTTAACAAAGTTAGAGTTTAACAAAACATCAAATTCACTAAGGTATTAAGAATCCTACTACACTGAATACGTTACCATTGCACTGATTAGAAATGTATAATTAGAGAAAAATTATATTCTACCTGCAATGATGAGATGTATTCGCACTGAAGTGCATTAAGACATTCATATTAGTAATAATTTTTAAATTAATTTTAGGTGGTGAAT